TATATATATATATATATGCACTGTCTTGCTGCTGAAGGGGTGGGGGAAGGGCACGGGGTGTATATGCAGCTTTCTTCTCTGGCTTTAAGGAGTAGCCTGAAGAAGAAAACCCTATAATAGCGGTAGCACTCAAACAATAAAAAAGATATTGATGCGCTTTCGATACACCAGAGGCACACTCAGCTGTCTGTGCATCCTAATGCCGCTGCTGCTGCTGCTTCTGCTGCTGCTGCGTGTTTGTTTGAAGAAGAGTTTAGTTCTTTATACCAAACGCAGCAGCAGCAGCAGCAGCAGCAGCAACAGCAGAAGCAGTAAGAAGCCCTGAGAAGAGCAGAGCTCTCCTTTAGCGGAGATGCAGAGAAGAAAATGCATACATAGGGTTTTCTAGCAGTCTCTGCGTTGCGGTATATATATATATATATCTATATATATATATATATCTATATATATATATATATATATACTGCAATGACTATATATATACGCGGCTTAGGGTTTAGGGTTTAGAGGAAGGAACGAGGGTTTAGGGAGGAAGGAGGGTTTAGGGTTTAGAGGAGGACGGAGGGTTTAGGGTTTAGTTGAGGAACGAGGGTTTAGGGCTTTGGCGGTGGGCGAGACGGGAGACGTAAACGTTTCCCCCTAAACCCTAAACCCTAAACCCTAAACCCTAAACCCTAAACCCTAAAACCCTAAACCCCAACTCCAAAGGGTATTGCTGATGTTTCTGTCAAATGCATTTTTATCTACTGCAGCAAAGCAGCAGCAGAAGCAGCAGCAACAGCAACAGCTGCTTCTACTGCTGCTTTACTGCAGCAGCTATTCGCGCTGCCTTGCGGCTGCTGTCTCCTTTTCTGGTGTCTGTTTGTATGAAGTGAGATAATGAAGACATCTTAAGAAGGAGACTCTACTTCTTCTGCTTGTCTTTCTATTTGCAGGGCGTATATGTCTCTTGGTGTATTGAAGCGCATGCAAAGAAGAGACAGTTGGGCTGTATGCATACTTGCGGTGTATCTCCTGCAGCACGTGGTGTTGTTTAGAAGAAAGAGCTGCTTTTAAGACAGCCTCAAGCAAACAGTTTGTTTCTTTGTGTCTCCTCTTGCTGCTGCTAATAATTCTTCTTGAAGAGGTAGGGTTTATATATTTATGTGTATTTGTTTATACTCTTTGCATAAGCTTTAACCCTTTACAACCGCACCTTAGCAAAGAAAAAAATCTCTCGTTGAATACACCGCAGCTTCAGCCTCAGCTGCTGTCTTACAAGTTGCTGCTGCTGCTGCTGCTGCAGCTGCTTCTGCTGCTGTTGTTGCTGCTGCTGTCTGCCGAGGTGTACTCTCACCACAGCTGTGCAGCAATTCGGATCGCTTAATAACTCTTTTAACTTATTATTTCAACATCAAGCCTAACAGAGGTGCCTATACACCTGAAAGGCGGCACACTAAAGAAAGCAGAGGAAGGCCTACTGAGGAAATGCATTAAACAAAGAAGCCAATTAAAGTACTGCACCTTTTTTTAAACATAAAACAACAGAAAAAAGCAGCTTATTTGCAGCGAAGACGTGAAAGTGTATAATTGTGGGTTGGGGTGTATGTAGAAGAGAGAGGGTTTTAAGGGTTTGTCTGGAGGTACGAGGTGTTGTTTAAAAAGAAATGAAAAAGTATTTATTAATGTTAAACTTATTTAAACTTATTTAGTACATATACCTTAAATAATTTCAAAACATACAACACAGAGCGCTCTCTCCCTACAGCCCCTGTCGAGTGTAGTCTGTATAGCCTGGTGCGTATAAAAAGTCAACAGAAATAATATTTATTTAAAGAAAAACAAATAATTAAATAATTAAACAAATATAAATAATATTATAACCACTTAAAACCCTTATATTAGCAAAAGCCTCGGAGAGGGATGGGGGAGCCGAGGTGTACGTACAGCTCAGCACGGCTGCGCCTACGAGCAACACCTCAGAACATTGCTGTGCGCGTTTGATAAAATATTTAAAATTAATTATTTAAATTTATTTAAATTAAACAATTTATTTCTTTTTTTCTCGAGATCATCTCCATCCTTAGCCTCCTACATTCCCATCTTGTCCTCTGACTATGCCCCCCCAAACCTTGTTCTTAGACAGCGAGCAATATATACTTTACTTCTCTTTGAAACTTCTTTCCTGCTGCTTCTGTAGGCATTAATAACTCTTTTTTATGAGGTCTTCTCCTTGGGGTGTATGTACAGCCTAACATATCAACCCCCTTCTTCATGCCTTCTTCTATATACAGCGGGGAAGCCGCTGACTTACTGCTAGAAGCATTATCTTTCTTTAAATGTCTCTTTCTTGATATGCATGCAGAGGCAACCATGCAACATAAACACTTAAACTCTACTGCACAAACATGCATATACACCGCAGCTTCTTCTTCTTTGTCTTCGTCACCACAGCCGCCTCTGTGCTGTCTATTCTCTTCAACAATATACACAAAAAAGAAAAACTTCCTTTAGGTGCGCCCCAATATATGCATTAATGCATGCATGCATGCATGCGTTAAGGGGTTTGGGGCTTTGAAGAAAGGTGCTTTTCATCTGTGAGGTGGATCTCTGCTTCTTTTCTTTGCTTCTCTTATCGGTTTTTTTGATGTTTGTTTGCTTTTGTCTTTGCTGCTCTTCTTCTCTTTGCAGTTGCAGCAATTCAGGAGAAGAGAGAGCAAAGAGAGGCTCTCTTAGAGCTGCCTATACACCCCGTGCTGCTGTCGCTGCTGCTGCTACCTGCTGTTTCACTCCCCCGATGCAGACGTACGCACAAGACGCCAGCAGCATCAGCAGCGGCATCAGGAGCATCAGCAGCAGCACCAGTTGCTGCTGCTGCTGCTGCTGTCGTTGCTGTATTTGCTTTTTCGTTTGCTTTCTTCTCTTCTGCAGCAGCTACTCCCAGCTCCAGTAGCTCTAAAAGACGAGGAAATTTAGCTGCCTATACACCCCAAATAAGCACACGTGCAGTCTCCCCTCAGGTGTTTAAAGGGGATTACAAACCTTCAACATTTCTTATAGACACAGCAGAGCTCATTATTAGATTAGATGAAGACACAACTGTGGTATGCTCCTGCTGCTGTTGCTCCTGTTGCTGCTGCTGCTGCTGCTGCTGCTGCTTGCCTGGCTGTACCTATTTCTCACGCTGCTGCTGTTGATGCTGCTGTTGCTGCTGCTGTTGCTGCTGCTGCTGTTGTTGCTGCTGCTGTTTTGAGGCCGAGTGCAGCGGCTTTGCTGAAGCAAACGTGCGCTGTGTCTCCTTCTAATGTGCAGACACCGGGGAGACAGTTTAAGCTGCGCCTCTATCTTTCTTTATTCTTCTCTCTGTCTGTCTCTCTGTCTCTCTGTCTCTCTCTCTCTCTCTGTCTCTCTGTCTCTCTCTGTCTGTTTCTCTCAGTCTGTCTCTGTCTCCGCGTATTTATGTTTGTCTCTGTCTCTGCCTCTCAATCTCTGTCTTTGCTAATGCATGCATTTGTACATCTGCATTATATATACATAATATACATTAAATAAACAATATGCTACATATTATATATTATTTATTTATTTATTTATTTATTTATTTATTTATTTATTTATTTATTTGCTGCTGCAGGTATTTGCGAAGCTGCATATACACCGGGCGCCTGACTCTCCCCCAGCAGATTTGCTGCTCGATGGAGACAACTTGCATTTAAGAAAGGTGCTGATCGACGGTAAAGTAATTAAGCAGCAGCAGCAGCAGCAGCAGCAGCAGAAGCAGCAGCAGCAGCAGAAGCAGCAGCAGCAGAAGCAGAAGCAGCAGCAGCAGAAGCAGCAGCAGCAGAAGCAGCAGCAGAAGCAGCAGCAACAGCAGCAGAAACAGCAGAAACAGCAGCAACAGCAGCAGAAACAGCAGCACCAGCAGCAGCAGCAACAGCAGCAGAAACAGCAGCAGCAACAGCAACAAGTAAAGGGATATGTGTTGCAGAGCGACGGGCGTCTTCTGCTGCCTCAGCAGCTGCTTCCTTCAGATTCGGGTGTCTCCTTTATAGTGGAGACAGAGGTGGCTATACACCCCAAATTAAATAACTCAAAGAGAGGTCTCTTCTTCTCTCAGTCTTCTCTTATTACGCAGTGCGAACCCAGAGGCTTTAGGAAGATTACCTATTTCTTAGATAGACCTGATATTCTAACAAAGTTTAAAGTAAGCACTAACTAACTAACTCACTCACTAACTAAAGCTTTAACAACCATCATAGACACACAGAGACACAGACAGAGACAAAGAGGAGACAGATACAAGGAGACAGAGAGGAGGAGACAGAGACAGAGAGAGAGAGAGAGAAAGAGAGAGAGAGACAGAGACAGAGAGACAGGAAAAGAGAAGGAGACAGAGAGAGAGAGAAGGAGACAGAGACAGATCGTACTGACGATTAGAGAAGAGCCGGTCTATATATTGTTTCTGTGCTGATTGTCTCTGTCTATCTTGTGTTTGTTGTAATATATACATATATATATTTAAATACTTATCTATATTTATATTTATATTAACTCAGGTGCGATTAGAAGCTGATGCGAAGAAGTACCCTCAGTTAGTCAGCAACGGCAACATCGTCGGATCGGGCAGTCTCCTTTCTCCTTCCTTTTCTTCATCTGTCTCTTCATCTTCATCTGTCTCTTCATCTTCATCTGTCTCTTCATCTTCATCTGTCTCCTCACCTTCATCTGTCCCTTCTTCTTCTGTCTCTTCATCTGTGTCTTCTTCATCTGTCTCTTCTTCTTCTGTCTCTTCTTCTGCTGCTGTCTCTTCTTCTGCTGCTGTCTCTTCTTCTTCTACCGGAAGCAAGCAGCCTTTGTCTGTCTCTGTCTCCTCTCCTTTCTTACACTTTGTCGAGTTTGAAGATAATACACCTAAGCCCCCCGATTACTTTGGCCTGGTTGCAGGCCCCTTTAGTCTCCTTAGAGACACTTTCATTAGCAGAGTAAGCAGAGACTGATCTACTGTCTCCTCTGCTTCTTCTTCTTGTCTTAGGCAGCCCTCCTTAATCTTCTCATTGTCTCCTTCTGCTGTCTCTCTACGCTTCTCTTGCTTCGCTGTCTCCTCTGCTGGGGAGCCTATGTGAATGCAATATAATATATGCATATATATATATATATTTATTTAGTTATTTGTATATAATGTGTCTGTATTTATTTTATATAAGGCTTATGAGGTGTATGTCTGTGCTGCACAGTGTATGCGTGTCTTTGTGCCTCCTCTTGAAGACGTCTGTTTGTCTGTCTCCTCCTTTAAGCGTCTCTTTCTTTTCTTTCTGCTTTTGCTGCTATTTTGAAATGTCTGTACACTCGAAGGCCTGTAAAGCCCTTTTGCTTTTTCAGGTGTATGTACACCTCAGCTCCGCTAATGGGGACAGCAGGCTGAGCTGTCTCTGCCTCCTTTTTTGTCTCTTCTTGTCTCTTCATCTGTCTCTCTGTCTCTCTGTCTCTCTCTCTGTCTCTCTTTCTCTCTCTCTGTCTCTCTATCTCTTTTGCTGTCTCTTTGTCTCTGTCTTTGTCTCTGTCTCTTCATCTCTGTCTCTGTTTTGTCTCTTTGATTGTCTATCATTATGTTTGCGTCTGTCTGTCTCCTTTTGTGTGTCTGTCTCTGATTGTCTCCTTATCAGTGTCTGTGCCTCTGTCTTAATATTTTTTTATTTTTTCTTTTGTCTCCTTCTTCATGCATAATGAAGAAGCTTTCTGATCTATTTGTTTGTTTGTTTGTTTGTGTTTGTGTGTATATATACAGAGCGGTAATGAGGTGTCTATACAGCTTCTAAGTCGAGAGGAGACAGCAGATAATTTGTTGTGGGGTCTTCATTGTTTAAAAGAATGCATGCGTTATGAAGAAGAAGAATATGACTTAGAATACGATTTGCATGTTCTTTCTATTGTTTGTATTGACGGCTTCGGGGGACAGATGGCCAACAAGAGTCTCTTCATCTTTGACTGCGAAGTCTTAGCTGCTGATATAGAGACAAGCACAGGTATACTATTATAGTACGCTTCGCCTACTGTCTCTATTCTCTGTCTCTGCTGTCTCTGCTGTTTCTGCTGTCTCTGCTGTCCCTTCTGTCTCTCTCTGCTGTCTCTGCTGTCTCTGCTGTTTCTGCTGTTTCTGCTGTCTCTGCTGTCTCCTATATCCTTTGTCTCTTCGCTCTCTGCCAGCTGTATGCTTGATCGTTTCTGTCTCTCTTTATATACTAACATAAATATACAACTATAAATATATATATATATATATGTTTATTTATATATATATCTCGAGCACCCTCTTTGTTGTAGGCGGAGGCATAGGCCTCGTTTACTAAGCCTGCTCGGTGTCTGTAGCAACATCTGCTGTCTCCTGTCTCCTTTCTGTCTCCTTTGTGTCTCTTTTTAATCTTCTGTTTGTCTCCTTTCTGTCTCGTGATTGTCTCCTTCATGTGCCCTCTCAGTGTCCTTTCTGTCTCCTTTATGCCTCCTTTCTGTCTCCTTTTTGTCTCTTTTTGTCTCCTTTTACTATTCTTTTTGTCTCTCTTCTGTCTCCCTTCTGGTGTCTCTTATGTCTCCATTATGTCTCCTTTCTGTCTCCTTTCTGTCTCCTTTTAATCTTCTTTTTGTTTCCTTTCTGTCTCCTTTATGTCTCCTTTCTGTCTGCTTTCTGTCTCCTTTTAATATTCTTTTTGTCTCTTTTCTGTCTCCTTTCTGGTGTCTCTTATATCTCCTTTCTGTCTCCTTTCTGTCTCCTTTTAATATTCTTTTTGTCTCTTTTCTGTCTCCTTTCTGGTGTCTCTTATGTCTCCTTTCTGTCTCCTTTCTGTCTCCTTTTAATATTCTTTTTGTCTCCTTTCTGTCTCCTTTCTGGTGTCTCTACAGACGCAGAGTTGCTGAGGACCCTCTCCGCAGTCAGCCACGAATACTTCAGGAATTGGGTTGGCGCGAGGGTTGCTATCAGGTAACTGCTGCTGCTGCTGCTGCTGCTGCTGTTGCTGCTGCTGCTGTTGCTGCTGCTGTTACGGCTGCTACTTGTGGTGCTGCTGGTGCTACGATTGCTGCTGCTGCTGCTGCCGTTGCTTAGGCCCTATATATATATAAGCATATTTGTTTATTTATATAATTAAACAAAAAAGCATCGGGTTAATGCAAATTTAAGGAGTCTCTTATATATGTATATATTTGTATATCTACATCTATATGTTTATATATCTATATCTATATCTATATATCTATATATCTATGTCTATATATCTATATCTATATATCTATATCTATATATCTATATCTATATCTATATCTATATCTATATCTATATCTATATCTATATATATATATATACATATATATATCTACATCTATATCTATATATATATATATATATATATCTATATCTATATCTATATATATATATATATATATCTATATATATATATATATATTTGCAGAGACTACTTTCAATTGCCTCTGGCATCGGGTTTATCGAAGTTTAAGGAGTCTGTCTTTGTCGAGACACTCGGGGCTGTAGGCGAACGACGAATAAGAGGCGTACGTTATTTGCTTAAAAGAGTATTTAAAACAGAAGAAAGATATAACTCTTCTTCTCTTATACGCAAAAGCTACAGGGATATCTCCGAGCTCTACTATTCCCCCAGCCATTGGAAAGCAGCAGAAGTCCTACGAGCGTAAGGTTTAGGGTTTAGGGTTTAGGGTTTAGGGTTTAGGGTTTAGGGTTTAGGGTTTAGGGTTTAGGGATAATGACTTTTCTTTTGGAGTTCATAATTTCGTGTTTTTGTCTCTTTTTTGTTTTGCTGTCTCCTTTTTTGTCTTTTTTTTGCTATTTTGTCTGTCTCTTTTTCTTCTGTCTGTCTCTTTTATATCTCTCTTTGTTGTCTCTTTCTTCTGTCTCCTTTGCGTCTTCTTTGTTTTTCAACGACTCTTCTTCTGTCTCCTTTTCGCTGTCTCTTTGCCTCTTGCATACACGTATCCTGTCTCTCGCTTTGTCTGTCTCTTCTTCAGTGTCTCCTCAGTCTCTTCTTTACTTCTCCTACCGTCTGCTGCTGCTGCTGCTGCTGTTGGTGGTGGTGGTGCAGCAGCAGCAGCAGCTGCTGCTGCTCCTTCTATCTGCTGCTTCTATCTGCTGCTGGAACTGCTGCTGCTGCTGCTGCTTTAATGCATGATTATTGCTGCGTTAGTGTGTATGTGTGGGTATAGGCTGCAAGCACTGTTAGGAGAAGAAGGGTTTAAGCGGGGTTTGCGTTTGTTTATAAAGAGACACGACGGCAGCACTTTTACTGTCTCCGACTTTATTAAAGCAATGGAGACAGCAACAGGAAAAGATCTGCATCAGTTCAGCAGGTGGTTTACCCAGGTAATTCTTCTGTCTCCTTCTTCATCTCTCTCCTACCCTCGCATTCTATCTATATTATCTACATATATATTTATATTATATATCTATACATATATATATGTATATATATATAGCACAGCCAGCAAATTTATATATATATATATATATATAGTTGTTATCTGTCTCCGTTTCTGTATCTCTCGCACTGACGTAGTCTCTCTCTCTATCTCTATTGATAGACAAATATACATATGCACAGATAGCCCCGTGGATATATATATATATATATGTAGATGGATGTCTCTTTTTTCTCTTTATCAATATATATATATATATATATA